CACACACATGTAGATGTAATCTCCTTTTGCACTCTTACTCCTTCCCCTCTGGCTCAAGAAGTAGGTCCCATGCTTCATCATCAGTTCTCTGGAATCATAGTTGGTCCATGTCTTACCAGCTTCGGACTCACAGGCTTTTCCCAGATCTTTTAGAAAAGGTAGAAATACCTTGCCTGGAAACCAGCAAAAAGACTCCTTGAAGGTTCTCCTGTCTTGTTCCCCAAGAGTCTTTGTCTAGCATTATTCAGTTGTGTCCAACTCTCAGTGACCCCATTTGGGGTTTTCTTGGCAACAATACTAAAGTAGTTTGCCATTTCCTTCTCCACCTCATTTTACAGCTGAGGAAACTGAGGCAAACGGGGTTAAGGTACTTGCCCAGGGTCACACAGCCAGTAAGTGTCTGAGGGCAGATTTGAACTCAGGTAGACGAGTCTTCCTGACTCCAGGCCCAGCATTCTGTGCACTGCACCACCTAGCTATCTTTGGTTACTGGAACCTCCCATCCCCCTAGAAGGAGATTCTGAGCCCCAGGCACAGGGGCTCTTCCTCTTTAGAAGAAAGAGCAGGGAATTCCCAATGCTCTCAGGTTTAGCTTTTAATGATACTGCTCTTGCTAGTCCAGAAGCCTGATTCTCTCCTAATAATCTTTTTCTTTGTTCAGTCAGTCAATAAACATCGATCAAGCACCTACTATGTGCAGGCACTGTGCTAAGTGCTAGGGAGATACAGAAAGGCAAAAGACAACCTCTGCCCTCTGGGAGCTCACACTCTGATCAGTGTGATGAGAGAATACATTTCCCAACTTTAATTTCTGAGGGCTAGACTATAACCCAGGTTATTGATATTTTCCCAATACCTATCAAACTCTAGGGGTTAGGGTCCCCAAATTTCTGAAAGTTAAGTACTGTCTGTTCTCTCATACTTATGAATGTGGAGGGGAAAACTGCAAAGACTAACTATCTCTGGATTCTACCTTCCTAACCATAATCCTGGCCTTTTGCTAAGAAGATACAGTAAACCCAAACCTAGAAAATACTGGAGTCTGCTAAAGTTGGTTGTTCAAGTTTTCAGTGTGAGCATTTACACCTTGGAAATTGGCAAATGCTACAAATCACGGATCAATTTGTTTTGATAATTATCTAGACTTCAGAATGTGATGGTAAAAATGTTAATAATTCAGATTAAATGTCAAAGTGTGCCCTGTATACATTTTTTTTTCCAGCGCTCTAAATTGTTAAACATTTACTAGTTTACACCTTTGGCTCAAAGGGCTTTGGGACACACCTTTATGTAACATCACTAATTGCTGATTGAAGGAACCTGAGTTAGCATCCTCTCAAGAGAAAAGGCAAGAAGGCTGCTAGAAAGAGCCCTCAGACTGAGCTGCCTGTGTGTGTACTAAGAATTAGCCACTGGAAGCCAACAAGAAGATTGAGGATTGTGCTTCTATCAAGTATAGATGGCAAAAGGAATCTCATAACCCCTAGAGTGCAATATAGATGCATTTCTATCAATGATAAGTCAACAGCTGGACATACTTGGTATATATAAAGTCTAGGTGGGCTCCCTTTGAGAGGAGAAGATAAAAGAGCTGGAGGAAAAGCTCTCTATCCTCTGGGTTATCAGTTGAAATGAAATTTCCTTGAAAGGTAGAAAAAATGCTTCAGAGAAAAAGAGGCTAGAGAGGCAGAGGAGAATCCTTGCTTGGATAAGGAGGTTGGAGGTGCAATAATATATGAGAGAGTAAAAGGGACCCTGGATATACAGAGGGGTATAAGTAGCTTGAGTCTCTTCCAAGAGAGGGTGGAGCTAAAGGTTCTAAGGAGGAATTAGAAAGGAAAAATGATGTGACTGAACGGCTACAAGTCAGTCAATGAGCATTTGTTAAGCACCTACCATGTGCCATGCACTGTGTTAGGCACTAGGAATAAAAAGAAAGTCTAAAAATAGTCCTTGATGTCAACAGAGAGGATTCTGGGAAGATGGCTGAATAGGTCAGAAAATTTCAAGCTCTCAAGATTTTCCTCCACAAAAAAAGATAAAATAGTGCTTCTGGGCAAACATTGAGCCGTGAAAGCAAATAAGAGTAGGGGCAGAAGAGGGGTCCTTCTGGGACAATTGGAGAAGATCTGAAGAAAAATCCTGGATGAGATTGTCTCCCTGTGAAGAGTAAACACCTCCAGGCTCAGGTCCACTTCAACAGCAAGCAGCAAGCCCTGGGACTAGCTGGTTTGGGAGGCTGCCTCGGCCCCAGCCACAGAAACTTTTACCCCAGGACAGTGAGGGGAGCTGGGTGTCTGACCTGAGGAAGATCGAAAGAGCTTCTGCTGATGGGGAACTCCAGACTCAGTTGTGCTGTGGAGATGCGGCAGGGGTGAGAAGGAACCAGTACACACAGGGTGAGGAAGAAGCAGTGGGGTGGGGACGCCTCTGCTGTGGGCACTTACTGGAGGCTGGAGCTCTTGGCTGGAGTTCAAGTTCAGAAGGGAGAAGTAAAGAGGATTAGAGGCACCATCCCCCACACCCCAGGACTAGAGGCGATTATAAAAACTAAACTATTACAAAAAATCCACAGGCAAAGGAGAAAGAATCCAACCACAGAGAGCTATTATGGGAATAGAGAAGATTGGGGTTCGTCTTCAGAGGAGGATACTGAAGCAAAGAAACCCTCTTCTACCCCAAAGAGTAATATCAAATGGTCACCTGCCCAAAAAGAACTCATTGAGGAACTTTAAAAAGACTTGAGATTGAGGGAAAAACTAAAAAGAAAAATAAGAATAATACAAGAAAAACAAGAAGATTATGAAAAGAAAATCAACCAATTAGAAAAGGAGATCCAGAATCTTAAGGAAGAAAATGACTCCTTGAAAATCAGAATTGAGCAAAGGGAAACCAGTGAAGTTACAAGAAATGAAGAAATTATATATAATATATATATATATATATATATAAAGAATGAAAAAATAGAAGAGAATGTGAAACATCTCATATGAAAAACAATGGATCTAGAGAACAGATCAAGAAGAGAAAACATAAGAATAGCTGGATTACCTGAAAGTTCTGATCAAAAAAAGAATCTTGATACAACAATACAAGAAGAAATTAACAAAAATTATCCTGAAGCATTACAACAAGAGGGGAAAGTAAAAATAGAAAAAATCCACCCATCACCACCTGAAAGAGATTCTACAACGAAAACTCACAGGAATATTATAGTCAAATTCTGAAATCCCCAGATCAAGGACAAAATATTACAAGCAATAGGAAAAAAACAATTTACATATGGCCACATATTAGAATCACGCAAGACCTAGCAGTGGCAACACTAAAAGATCACAGGTCTTGGAACACCACATATTTAAGAGCAAAAAAACTAGGCTTCTGGCCGAAAATATCACACCCAGCAAAGCTAAGTATAATTCTGAATGGAAAAAAAGAAAAAGAGGACATTTGATCAATTGTCAGACTTTCGGGTCTTTGTTAAAAAAAAACCCAAAAAACAACAACACTTAACTCAATAGAAGATTTAACATACAAGAGCAAAACGAAATGTAAGGTATATACCAATGACCAATTACAAGGGACTCAATAAGGATAGAATGTTTACCTTTTAGGTATGAAAAATGTAAAACTTATGTCTAAGATTGTTACTAGTAATTAGGTAACTTATAAGGAAGATTGGGGTAGTCCTGAGTATGATATGACTCCAAAAAGTAAAACCATTCAAGTACAGCTAAAAGAGTAATTATATTTTACAGATGAGGTACAAGAGGAAGAATCAATACAGAGGAATTAGATGGGGGAGAGGGGCTGTTAGTTTTGGAAACCCACTCTCATCCAGAATGGGTTTAAGAGGGGAAACTATATATACATTTAGAAGAGTATGAAAGTCTTCTAAATTTAGAAAGAAGTAAAACTCTAAGGGGATAGGGAGGGGAAGAGGATAAAGGAGGGATCTTTAAAGGGGAGGGTGTGGAATAAGTTAAAAAGGAGATATAGAAGGAGGTTTAGATTTAGGGGAATGGGAGGATAAGGGAGGGATTGCTGGTGTGGGGGGTAGGTTATGTAATAGGAGAGTAAGGTAATAGGTAGAAGTGAAGTAGAGGAGTTAGGAGAGATAGGAAAAAAAGAGATATGCACAAGCATAAAAATAAGGATTAGGAGTAGAATCTCTTAGGGAAAGTATAGTTTTATATATGTTTTATATATCTATATATGCATGTATATATGTATGTATCTATATATGTATAAGTGTATGTATATATCAATACTTATACGTGAGGGACTGTCTGATGTTGGCTACTGCCAAGTGAGGATTGTGGCAAGATTGGGGTAGGATCTGGGTATTAGGAAGTAACTGGAGCCCACGCTCCCGAGGCAGGGGCTGTGGTAGGCGGAGTTGTGCTGAACTGGGATGGGCTGGATACGGAGAAGTAGGCAGTGGGCAGTGCTATGTGAGATAAGCTGGGGAAAGATCAGGATACAAGGAAGTAGCCGGAGCACGTGCTCCTGAGGCAGGGGGCTGTGCCACGTGGGAGTGGGACGGCAGAGGACAAGTTCCCTTTGCTTAGTCCCCTCCCTAAGTGCAACGTCAACCCCAGACGCCTCCTTCCTGTGTCCTTCCTGACTTCCTGGGTCACGTACCTTCCCTTTGTGTAGCACTGACCCCAGACGCCTCCTCCCGATATCTGGGCCTGACTTCCTAGGTCACATACTCTTTGTCTATGCACTAATCCCAGACGTCTCCTTCCTGTATCTGGTCCTAGCCTCCTGCGTCACTTCCTCTCCCTTGGTGCGCTAAACTCAGACAGCCCCTTCCGGTATCTGACCCTACAATCATTGACTAGTAGGCGAGCTGAGGAGGAGGGGCTAAGTAGGTACTTAAGGAACGATCATGGTCAGATTGCTCTCTTTGCTCCTGCTCTGTTGCTCTGGCCTTCCCGCTTGGCCTTGCTGTGATGGCCTCTGAATAAAGCTCGGGTGTTGGCACCTCCTGATGGGCTCGTCTCTGTGTGTTTATCCGGGTAGGCACCGAAGACTGGTAAGTAGTATGACTCTGGCAGCCTGCTCCTTATAGGAGAGTGTACGGGGCGGCCGGCACAAGGTCGGCGTGGCCAGCACACTTATATATAAATATATCCAATGTTCAGTTGTAGCCTTGGAGTAATGGGTAGGGGGAAGGGAGGGGAAAAAAGAACAAAGTAAAAAATGTACATCAGAGAACAAAAGAACACCTACAAGGAAGCAAAGAAAAGATGGACAGCTTTCAACATAATGCACAGTATTTAATATACAGGCTTTCTTAAAATGAAAAGTTATTGCCATATATTTTGAATCCTCTCCTATTTTCTGCTGTGCACATGACTTTTTTTGTTCTTTCTTATTTTATATTTAAGTTTATAATGTTTCTTTTTCTTTTCTTATTATGTATTTAAGTTTTAGTATTTGTCTAAAATATTTTTTTAAAAGAAAAGAAAGCACATGAAGGTCTTTGAATGCCAAACAGAGGATCTTATATTTGATCCTGGAGGTAATAGGGAGCCACTGGAGTTTATTGAATTGGTGATGGAAGGGTGTGTGGGGGGAGATAACATAATCAGAACTATAGGTTAGGAAGTTTAATTTAATAGCTGAGTAGAGGATGGGCTGGAGGAGGGAGAGACTTGTAGAGAGACCAACCAAAAGCCTATTGCAGTAATCCAGGCATGAGGTGATGAGCTTTTGCAATCAAGATTTGGCAATAGCATGGATACGGGGAGTGAGAGAATGCAAAGATTCAAGGATGACATCTGGGTTGTAAGCCTGGGGGACTGGGAGGATGGTAATGCCTGCCAATTGTAATAAGGAAGTTCCAAACGGGACAAGGGGGAGAGAGAAATAACGAGTTCCATTTTGGACATGTTGGGCTTAACGTATCTATGGGACATCCAATCTTGAGACGTTCAAAAGGGAGTTGGAGATTTGAATTTGGAGTTTTGGAAAGAGGTCAGGTCTGGATAAAAGGGTTTGAGAATCATCACTATAGAGATGATAATTGAATCAATGGGAGCTACTGAGATCACAGAGCATAAAGTGGTATAGAGAGAAGAGAGGAGAAGAGGAGAGAAGGGGAGGAGAGGGAAGGAGAAGGAAGGGGAGGGGAGGGCCCTGGATGAAGCCATCATTAGTGGCATGATCAGGAGAGAGGTTGGAAAAAAGAGATGAAATGAGTAATGGTAGGAGTTGATTCCCTCGATGAAGATTGGCAAAAGAGTCATTTGTCAACCTGATGACAGAGAAATGGGCTATCTTCCCATGTATCTGGTACATAACAAAGAGCCTCCTGGAACCTGTCAAATGTGAGGACCACTATACAATTCATGTGGGGATAAATGACACATGCCATCAGAAAGAAATTAGAAATCATTGCTTAGGGTTATGAAGTTGTAGGCAAGACACCGAAGACTTTAGGGGTACAGGTGATTTTTTTAATTCACCGCTGAAAAATGACAGGAAGGGTTTCAGCAGAGGGAACCAGATTTGGGAAATGAACAATTGACTATAAAATAGTGTCTAAAAAAGATCCGGACTTCTGAGGAAAGAGGGAGGGAATCTCAGGATCTAGATCAGGGTTGGAGTGCATCAAAAGAGGGTTTGTTAAAAAAAAAAAAAAATTTGCCTGGAGACTTACAAATCTAAGGAAAAGGACTTTCATTTAAAAATGAAGAAGGAAGGAGAAAACTGCCCATAAATAGCTATCTGCCAAGTTGGATACCACATAAAGTAGTCCTAACAATGCAAAAAGAATCAATACAGAAAGGACTCACAGGCAACAATATCCAAGAGGAGAGAGAGCAGTAAAACCCAATTCTTTGGATGTCTATATACCAATACAAAATATAGATAGCAAAAAAAAAAAAAAGATTAACTAGAGACCTTAAAGGAAGGAAGGAAATTCTAAGGTGAGAAGTCAGACAAAAAGGGACAGCTCCAAAGAGCAAAGTTCTGAAGACACAAATAAAATACATTTTTTTTATAAAGGCAATTGGGGTTAAGTAACTTGCCCAGGGTCACACAGCTAGTAAGTGTTTAGTCTGAGGACGGATTTGAACTCAGGGCCTCCTGACTTCAGGACCAGTGCTCTATCCACTGTACCACCTACCTGCCCTGAAAATCTATTCTGATAAGTATGAAATGTCCAAAGAGATCAATAGGGATGGATAAGGAACTCATCCACCAAGTTAGATTTTATAAAGACCTATACAGAAGATGAAGGTATAACTGAGTAGTAAGTGACTGGCCAGTGAGAGCCCAGGCCACGTGAACGTGCATGGCTTACTTGAAACCTGGGGGTTACTTTGCCTCTAGAAGTTCATGATGCATGGAATAGAAGCTCCAAACTTCAGACCACATTCGGGTATTTTCTTACTGCACAGCAAAGAAAAACTTTAATTGGCTGCTGGGCCCAACTTGGAGTATTCAGAAGGCACTAACTGGCCAGATCAATCCCTCTCCCTGGCTTCATTAAAGTGAGGAAGATGAACGCTATAAGCCTGCAGGTAGGCATTCATTGGTCAGTCCCCCCCCATTACAGAGACAAGAATAGGTAACAGGATGAAGACAAAAATGTGGCAAGCTACTGTAAGAATAGTGGAAGGGATGGTAAAGCTCAGAATAAGCTGAGGCTGGCGAGGAAAGCTGAAGAGGGAAAAGGGTGGATTTTTTTTCAGCTTCATTGGAGAAACGAGAAAGCCTAAGGAAGGTATGTGACTGCTGCTCAGCCAGAAAAAGACGATGGATGATAACTGGGAACAGCAGGCTAGTCAAGCTGCTCGATTTTCATTTCGATTCTTTTTTTTTTCTCTGCCAAGAAGAATGACCTTTGGATTGGAAAGGACCAAACAGAAATAGCTAATAGGGAGCGAAAAATCAAGATAAGTAGGGAGCTGGTCAGAGGGCACCAAGTGTCCTTGCTGAGTTCGGGGCCCAGATGAAGTATATTATAGGATACTGAAAAAACTGACAGGTTTGATTGCTGAGCCTCTCTCAGTAATCTTTGTAAAGACAGAATAGAACAGCGGCCGGATTAGAGGAGGGCAAATGATGCTCTCGTTTTGTTTTTTTTTTTGTTTTGTTTTGTTTTGTTTTGTTTTTCCTAAGCAAACAGAATGGAAGCTGAAAACTATAGAGCAGTGGGCTTGACTTGGATTCCTGGCAGAATTCTAGAATGTATTCATAAGAGGCGGGAAGAGAAGCAATGATCTCGAAGGTTTGTTAAGAACCAGTCATTTCCTTTTTGGACAGAGGAATTAGACAAGCGGATCAGAAGAATTCTGGAAGCTATCCGTGCCTAGATTTCAATGAAATATTTGAAAAGGGCTCTCACGCTATTCTTGTGGGATAGAAGGAAAGATGTGTGCTAGACAAATGCAATATTAGATGGACCCAGAAACAGTGGAATGTCCAGATCCCCAAAAATTGTCATTAAGGGTTCAGTGTCAGCTTGGAGAGAAGTCTCCAATAGAGTGTTCCAGAGATTTGTGCTTGGTACTGTGCTGTTTAAAATGTTTATATCAACCACTTGGTAAAGCCCTAGGGGTCTAAAGGAATAGCTAACTGGCATATGACAAGCATTTTTTAAGCATTTTCTAAGTACCTTGCACTATCCTAAGACAATTCTTGCCCTCAAGGAGCTTATATTCTAATGGAGAAAGACAATACATTAAAAGTAGTGAAAAGCTAGAAGGGAAAGGAGAATCAAGGTGGAGAAAGTCTGGAGAGTTGAGAGTTCTTTTAAAAAAAAGAACTTCTTAAAAAAAAGGAAAAGAAAAAAAGGAAGAAGAGGAAAAAGTCAGCAAAATGGATCAATACATTGCAAAAAATCTAGTATATGGACATTGCACAATCATGGATTCCCACTCCTCTTATCCTTACCACATCAGCAAAGAAGCAGTAAGAGTTGTCTTCTTATGTGCCTTCCCTGGGACCAGGCTCGCAAGTTCTTTGTAATTTTGTAGCATTGATTTTCAAATGATTCATCTGCTATTCTTTCCATTTACAGTGTTGTAGTCATTATGTATGTTGTTTTTTCTGGTTCTGTTTACTTCATTTTATTAATGTAAGTCTTCCCATGCTTTTCAGAATTATCATGTTTGTCTTCTTTACAGCACAGTAATATTCCATTGCATGCAGTCTTGTACCACAATTTGTTCAGCCATGCCCCAATTTAGGGGCATCGATTTGGTTTCTAGTTCTTTCCACAGAAAGAGATGCTGTAGGTATTTTGTTGTATATGGAGCCTCTCTTTTTGTCAATGACCTCATTGGGATATGTGTGTAGCAGCAGAATTTTGGGGTACAAGTATATAGTCATTCTACCCACTTTACATAATTTCAAAATGCTTTCCAAAATGATTGTACTAATTCACAGCTCCAGCAACAGTGCATTAACATTCATGTTAGACCACATCTTTACAAATATGTAGACAATATAACATCTGCTGGGTTTATTGCTTGTTGCCTGTAGGAGAGAGAGAGAGAGAGAGAAAGGAAGGAAGGAAGGAAGGAAGGAAGGAAGGAAGGAAGGAAGGAAGGAAGGAAGGAAGGAAGGAAGGAAGGAAGGAAAGAGAGAAAGAAAGAAAGAAAGAAAGAAAGAAAGAAAGAAAGAAAGAAAGAAAGAAAGAAAGAAAGAAAGAAAGAAAGAAAGAAAGA